ATAAAAGTGATATCGCTACCCATACCACAGCTGATAATACAATAACAAAGACCACTACACCAAGTGGTACAAAAATGTATTCTATTCCATCTGGTGGGCCAAATTCATCAAAAATTTCTGTTGTTGTAGATACATATATATTGGTACTTGAAGGTTCAAAGGAAACAATTGTACTATTATTAGGCGATGTTATGGCCTTAGAAATATTCCACAATCCATTTTCTTCTGTAGAACTCACATATGCTTCAGATATTTCGCTGGATATGTTAGTTGCCATAGTAGTTGCCATGGTATAATTTTTAATGCTGTCAACTAGCATTCCAGATGTTGAGGAATTTGTAACACTTGTTGAGTTCATCTCATTCATTGTTGTTTAGGTAGAAAATAGTATTTGATTCTTTACAAGAAGCATTAATTTTAAATATATTGGAAAGAAATACATTAACATCTATGTTATTTACACTATAGAAGTTGAAATTTTTCAAAGCATACACACTTTAATCTTATTGTCACTTGTTTTACTTTGTTGTACTAAAAACGTAAGAACTTAATATGCAAGAAGCATAACAATAAATACTGTTTATTATTACTGTAATAATAGTGATACATTAACGTATCATTACATGAGATATGAAATGCTCTAATTCTATGTGTGGTTTGAACGGTTATAGCAGACAGAAGTGTATCACTTTTTATCTCACAATATTCGAGATTATGAGGTATAAACCATCCGAAATAAAGATCACATTCATCAATTTGACTTTGTAAACAAATATACAATTACACATCTTGATCAGTTTTTTGCGTTATGCTATCAGTGTGAAAACGTAACGAAAATTTCGTTCCATCACGAATGTCATCGATTTCATTTCTGTGCTCCCGTTTTCAAAAAGTTTCTGTTTTTTCTTTTAAGAACGTCTCGATCACTCGTAATAAAAGTATTAAAATATGTTTGATATACGATCGTGTATTTTCGTCTTTTTTATGACTGAACTGTCGAAATGAATATTTTCCCTTTGATTCATTGTTGACTGTATAATAGACCATAGTTTTGCTCGGAGCATGATACTCATCCTTCTACGTGAAAACAAAGTTTTGCCTAATTATATTTTTCCTTTTAATTTCGATAGTATCGCAATGCAGCTTTCTCGCATGGATACATTGCACATAAAAGACATCTGCATTAGTTCTCCAAACTAATTCCGTTCTAAACTGTACTATCTATCGATGTCTTATCGAGATATTTTTCAACATCGATTCTAATATCTTTAGCAGATCGTGATATACGAAAGAATTAAAGAATAATCTGAATTGTTAATATGTAACAACGTTTTAATATGCAACAATATTTTCAATAAAAATGATATAATATTATAACATTATATAATATTAATATTTATCATATATGTAATATATATATAAATATATATAATATATAATATATATATTATATAATATATATAATATATATATAAATATATTTAATATTACATATATATATATATATATAT